TGATAACTTTCTCACTCCCTCCCCCGTATGCTTGTAATCTACTGTTTACGGTTTTCTACTAGAGCTTCCAGAATCTCCTCTTCGAATCACATGTATTGTTCTTGGTATACCGGATTTTTGGAGGCTGTTTGATTTTAAATTGTCATTATTAGTTCTTCCTTCTTTAAATAATCGAATTCCTGATGTCAATCTTTAATGCCAACCTCAGTCCTATTTTAATTAAAGCTCAGCTTTACCCTACTCACATTTTGTAAGTAGTTTGATTATTTTTGCGTAAAAATATCTCAATTTGCTGTACAATTAAAAAAAAATGAAAAATTACACCTGACCGATTTAATAATTTATAATAATCCAGATTTTAGAAACTTAAACGCATGCATCTCCATGGAAACCTTAGAGTTTGTTTCAAATAACAAAATAAAAAGTTTTCTTTCTCAAATAACCTAACTACATAGAATATTATCAATATTTGTTTATTTACAATAAATTATCTAACATTATTGCATAGTTTAATGTCATAATACATTACCCATAAAACATTAAATTTGAATCTTCCAGCGGAATCATGTATTTTCTACACTATGAGAATAATTTTTCCGCCTTTAATATCAATAAAGATACTGAAGAACTATATTGTTTGTTTCACGTTATTCTCATTTGTACTATTTAGTTGGTTGCTGACTGTCTAATCTTACATAAGTTGACTATGATGCGTTAATCGAGGACGAAATGTCTAAATCTTGTATTGGCTACATTTATATACATGATTATTTCAAAAATACTTTGATCATGTCACTGATGACACATTGCGATGTTTATTTCATCGGCTTTCGTTAAGTATCTATTACTATTCTTTTAAGCCAACGAAACCAGAAACTTAATAAGTAAGGAAGTCAACAATCAGTAGGAAGTATTTAGTGTATAACTGAATTGAGATGCATGCAACAACAAAAATTCGTAAATATATATCTGCTAGCTCAGAAAGTTCAGATAAATCTTGGCCAATAGAATGCATTCGTCAGTTACTTTACTTACGCCTGTTACCCCCAATGGAGAAGAGGCTGCCCACCAGTTTTCCCCAACCAACTCTGTCTTGGGCTTCCTTTTCCAGTTCTGTCCAATTTTTGTTCATTCTTCTCATATCTTTCTCTATTTCTCGGCGTAATGTATTCTTTGGCCTTCCTCTTTTCCTTTTATCTTGAGGGTTCCAAGTGAGTGCTTTTCTCGTGACGCAGTTTGGTGCTTTTCGTAATGTGTTTCCTTTCCACTTCCACCGCTTCTTCCTGATTTCCTCCTCCACTGGAATCTGGTTTGTTCTCTCCAAATGTAAGTTGTTTCTGATAGTGTCTGGCCAACGAATCTGAAGTATTTTGCTTAGACAACTGTTAATAAATACTTGTATCTTGTGGATGATGGCTTTCGTAGTTCTCCAAGTTTTCGCTCCTGACAGGAGAACTGTCTTGACATTTGTATTGAAAATCGCATTCGTCACTATCCTTTACTATTTAGCCTAAGAGTGGTATACCAGATTACCCCAGGCTATCAGTTTAATGAATAAATTTCCTTTGCAAAATCTTGCTCATTTCGTTCAGTGAATTAGCAGGGTTTTTTCCTGTAATCGTCATTTTGTTGGAAAAAAATTACTTACTGACTCCTGTTACCCCCAAGGGAGCGTAGGCCGACTACCAGCATTCTCCAGCCTACTCTGTTTGGACTTCCTTTCCCAGTTGTATTCAATCGCTGTTCATTCTTTTCATATGTGTCCTATTGTCGGCTTTATGTGTTCCTTGGTCTTGCTC